TCACAAATAAAGAAGAAATGATCGAGTGTCGTATCTCAAGTATTTTTATTCTTTAAAATTTATTTTTATTATAATATACCAAAACAATTTAAAAATATAATAAATTAATTTTAAATATTTTTTAAAATTAATTAATTTTAAAAAACCCACCAAGCACTTGAATTCTCAAAATAGATGTAACTCGGGCAATGTTTGTTTTTAAAAATAATTTTTAAAAAATTTAATAAAGTATTGTCGCCAATCTTCTGGAACAAGCATAAAAATTTGAGTGAGGAGTTCTGACCTGAACATAAGCTTTAATTTGGAATGTTTTTTATATCAACGAAAAAGGTTTATATCTTAAAAAATCATGTATAAGTTAATAAACAATGAATTAGTTGAATAAACAGTTCAGCTAAATTAATCATATTAATTATATCTATTTGTGTATATATAGAATATCTTTTTTAAAAAAAAATATTTTGATCTACATGAGAGTTTTCATTCAAGAATCCATACACAATCACCAAATTTCAAAATCAAATTTTCTCACTAAATAGTTCCTACGTAGAAATAAGATAAAGAAATAATGTTTATAGTTAAAAGATTTTGCAATATATCAAAAATAAAATATTGCGATCCAGTATCATAACAATATATTTTGATATTTTTTATTTAATTATTATATTTTTATCATATAAATTTTAGATTTAATAAATTAATTTGATTTGGCAAGTTAATTTAGTTGATTTAATTTTTAAGTAGTTTTTTAATTTAATTAAGAATTAAATTTTATAATTTTTTTTTATTTTTTTATTAAATTATTATAATATCATAAGAAGGTTTTATTATACATTTCCTTTTAAAAACCACTATTAATTGAAATGATATATTTTTTTATATTTATTTTTTATTTAATTATTAAATATGGATGATATAGTTTTATAATTAGATTTAAGATTCTTGAATCTTGTTTTGTAACCACACTAGCTTAAACTTGAATAAGATAAATTTATTATTATTATTATTATTAAAAATATTATTATTTATATTATAAATATTTTAAACTAGTGATATATTAAGATTGGAAATTCTTGACCCTAGTTTTTTAAGAAATTGTTTGGAAATGCGATATAAATTATATTTAAAAAAAATTCAAGTTTTTTTTGTTTTTTATTAAAATTTTATATGTTTTATATATTTTGATGTATTAATATTAAAAATAAATTTAAGACTTTTAAATTTTAACTTTTCTGTGTGTCTATATATATATATATTAATTAATATAAATATTTAAACTAACTTACAAAGTAAGAATCGAATATAAGACTTAGAAAAAACAAGCCCTTTCACCCCCAGACCAATAATTTAGACACCTATCCTGCTGCTTTTCTACATTTTTGTTTTTAGTTGGGTAATGCGTGCCGACGACAGTGACCTCAAGAGTTCGATGCTTCACGATCAACTAGAAATCGACGAGACTATGTTAACTCGACGAGTCGGTTTGCTGGACCCATTTGGTTGACAAAAGAAAGTTACATAACTGCCCCTCCAGCCTATAAATAGATGGCTCCTGGGCACACCGTACACAAAACCTCAGTCCTCTCCAAGCGCTCCTTCGGTCACTTGGTCTTTGATAAATGGCGAGATTCTCAAAGGTCCTCAGGAGGACTGATATTAAAAAGAGACTCTCAGTGCCGACCGGGTTTCTCAGCTCTCTTCCCACCTTTTAATGGTGGTGGTTATGCTGTAGATTTTCAAGCCGTAGATGGAAGTGGCCGTGTTTGGACTTTCAAATGCTCAATTCGCAGGAAAGGACGTCCAAAACCAGTTATTTCAAAGGGCTGGCTAACTTTTGTTGCTAGCAAGAGCCTTAAAACTGGTGACAAGGTCCAGTTTTCAAAGGAGAAAAACGAAGCTGGCGCCAAAACGCATGCTTACGAGATTCGGGCTGAGAAAGAAATCAAGATATTTGGTGCTGTTTTCGGATATGCACCCATAATATAGCTCCGTTTCCGTGCATTAGGGCTAAAAAGAGTAGTCTGCTTATGGCCCGGCATGACTAACTTCGCCTAAGGACTTCTCAAACAGGTCTTTTTTTTGGTATTTGTATTAAAAAAAAAAAGAGTTCAAACCTAGCTATGTTGTTGCTGTGCTTGTTCTAGTTCTTGTAACGCTGTCTACATGTTACTGCTGTTTCTATATTTCGGTGTTGTCAATTGGTGCTATTATCGAAGTAAAATAAATTCTCAATTTGTTCGTGTCAAACAGTGTGATTGTGAGGCATTTTACTGTGACTCGGACAGTGATTCAAGTTCCATTTCTAATATTTTCTTCTCGCGAGAGGGTATGGTTTCTTTTGTTCATTTTTTCTTACTCCGTGTTCAGTTCTCCCCTTTCTTTTCCTATGCCAAGCCGACAGATGACAGAGGAGAGGATGCACCGAGCAGGCAGAAGAAAAATAAGAGAAGGATGCCGCAACGGAGAAAGACTACACGGGGGGAAGCAACACCATCACAAACAAGCGAATTTCTCACAGATTAGGAGGTGGCCGATCAGTGAACGACAAGTTAAATCAGAATCACCACCAGCAGAATCAGAAGGACTGTCACCACTGGAGAGCTGGAAAGTGAAATAGATTTCCATGTCCGTCTCTCAACCATGAACTCCCAGCACGGCCGCCGCGTGCGTCTGTGAACGGGAGAGGAGTAGCGAAGAGAGGGTTTACGGGGATGATTCATCATCGTTTTCCAGGGGGTGGTGTAGTAATAGTAATTATTGTAATAGGTGGGGCACTTTGGGAATAAGGGTAATATTATAGGGGTAAAAAGGGAATTTTAGGTTTGATGTTAAGTTGTTGTGCAAAATTGCTTTTTTTTTTATTTATTTACATGGGGTGTCCGGGCCAGCTTACGCGCACCACGACTAATCTCTACGGCCCACTGAATATCCTGCAAGTCCAGTGAGCAGGTAAAGCACCGCGGGGGTGACAGGCGTGCATGGTAAGATTCGAACCCGGTGCAAAATTCGATTTCTTGGAGCTTTGGTGATGCGCTGACTTAAGTTGAAGGGCATCAAAAGTTGATTTTCTCTTTTGTCATTCTTTAGTGTTTTGTGTAATGGGTTTTTGTGGGTTTTGGATCTGGTGATTGATTTTGGGAGTTTTGATGTAAGCCGGTGATGCATTGTCATCTGGGGCTGATAAGCTTTGTTCAGGGAGTAAGGATGAGACTGTTAAGAGTTTGGGGTGGACAGGTTTGAGCTTTTACCCCTTTCAGCTTGAATTTTAGCTAATATTCTCAGTAGACATTGAAATTTATGACTCTGATTGAATTGTAATGTGCTGTTGATTTGAGCACTGGTGTTTCAAATTGATGTCTCTAATGTTTGTGTTGGATCAATTATTCAATTTCTGTTAAAGCTAAGACTATGATTAAATTGAGATATTTAAAAGCAGGATGCTAGCGGGGAGTTGCTTCAAGCTTCAACATTTTCTTTTCTGTAGGTTTTCCTCGCGCATACTGCAATTTGGATTAGATATTTGCTTGGGAAAATAAAGTTATTTTTATCAACTGTTTTTTCTTCACCCGGCTAAATGTTCAGTGACAAACTTGCTTTATGGATGTTTTGGCAATTTATGGGTCTGATTAATATTGGTGGTGTGGTTGGTTGCGTGATTAGTGAAGGTCCTTGGGTTTTTGTTGGCCTTCCAAATGCTGTCAAGGTTAGGCAAGCCTTTCTCATTGTTTTTTTATGTCACTCTAAACCCAATTTGTAACAATGCTTAGAACAAATTTACCTCCATGGGAGTGGCTCTGACACAGTTTTTTTTTTGTTTTTGCAGGCATGGAATAAACAAGTGTATGCTTTGTTCGTGGGTAATTACTTGTTCTTTGCCGGTGCGCAAGTGATCTTTTTCTTTCTTAGGCTTGTATTATCCTTAAAAGTTCTGTTGATGCTCATGTTCTCTCATATCAAGACCTAATATCTCATTTCTGCATCAGTTTGTTTGCTTTGGTATAAGGAAGCAGGGACATTAATAATTGAAAGTAACCATCCTTGGTCATTTATTGTGGTGGGTGGAGGGTTTGTGTTG